ATATTTACGTTTCTACCCAGGGACCCAAGGAAGCAAGGATAACTGAGATGAACTCAGCATTCTGTCACTTGTCAAATTTTCAAATTTTAGGGCTGAGTTAAAATAACAATGAGATCAAGTCTACAGGTCAAGGCAGCCCAGCTTCTTCAGATCAGCCCCCTGCCATCTTGAGTGGTACTGCTCAGTTGGTCTGCCACCAGGTGGCTGTGACTTGGGCTAACTGGCCAGCCTTCTTTCTGATCCAGGAAAACCAGGGCTCAGATTCAGCTCTTTAACGCCCTATGTTCCTGCACTGACCTGATACAGCAGCTGGTCTGCTAGCTGTCGACCTAGTTCAAAGCTGGGTCTTCATACCCACTCTACAAATGCATGGTGAGCTTGCAAATCTAAAGCCTAATAGGAAAGTGAGAAGGTCTTAGTGTGGAAACAGGAACAGAAACTTCGTGAAGCTGCCAAAACTAAAACTGAGAACACCCAGAGCTTAATTTAGGCTCCAGGGATTTCTCAAGACTTGTTTGCGCTGTTTCTTGGAGGCAGCTTCAATCTGCTAAGTCCTTCATTAGTCATTCAAACAAAAGTTCAAGGAGACATTGAGAAGCCCTGTTTGATCCCGAAAGTCATTACCAATAATCAAACGGCCTTGGCAGCTCAGCTCAGTAGGCACACTGGGAGCTTCACATTGCTTCTGTCCTTGGGATGTCACTAACTTGATGGAAAATCCACAGTGGCATTCTGCTGCTCTTGGGGTCAGTGGACTCTCAGCCTCACCCTTGAGGTCCCCTAAGGCTTCAGGCCACAGATACTTCAACAAAACTTAATTATGTTTTTTTTCCTATTACAGTTCCTATGAACATTCTGACTTTTCTGTTTATTCTTTAATGAATAACATTTGAACTTACTCTGTATATCAAATACAAGTACTCTCCATTGCCATTTAAAAACTCCATCTCTTCCAGAACGCCAGTTTTCTTCCAGGATTCCTGATGACACTTGTCTGGTTGCATTTATTTTTTCTTTCTAGCACTCCGCATTTTTCTACTATGTGAATAAGTATATCTTGTGTCATCTTCCTCTATCACACTGTACATTCATAGGCACAGAGATTACATCTTATTGATATTTCCAATTGGCCAAGGGGCAGAAATTCCTGGGTTCATACTCTACAGTCAGTAGGGTTCCAGAATCAAATACTTCAGGTATTTATTCCTTTCTCATCTCATTCACCATTACCACTCTCCTTCCTCTTTCCACATATATCTGCTCTAATAACTTTGATGTTGATCATAAACGCATGGTCATAGGCTGCATGATGTTGTGGCAAGCAGATTGCACATAGGACATTGGTCTCATGAGACTCCATTATGGAGCAATGCCATGTTTTCTTTGTTCATATAAATGTAGCCTATGATGTTCACATTATGACAAAATTGCCTAGCAATGCTTTCCTCAGAGCATCTCGCCTGTTAAGCAACGACTGGCTGCGGGTTGTTGTTGTTTTTTTTTTCTTTTTTCAAAATGTTGAATTGTACTGTATTTTAGCAGACACAAGACTTGTTTATTTGGCACCATGTTTCTAAAATCTTTAGGAACCCTGTGGACATTTGTTAGTTCAAATTGCCAAAGGATACTCTATTATAAGCACCACACTTTCCTCAACTGTTCCTTCAGCACACACCAAAATTTCTTTCAATGCTTGGCTTCTACAGTGTGCCACTGACTACCAAAGATATGATTTCTGTGTGTCAACATGTTACACAGACGTAGTAAGAACTAGCTAGTTGTCTTAGTTAGATTTCTATTGCTATGATAAACACCATAACCAAAAGCAACTTGGGGAGGAAAGAGTTTATTTCATCTTATAATTCACAGGTCACAGTCCATCACCAAGGGAAGTCAGTGCAGGAACTTGGAAGCAGGAACTGAAGCAGAGACCATGGAGAAATGCTGCTTACTGGTTTGCTCCTCTTTGCTTGCTTAGCTGGCTTTCTTGTATACCTCAGGACTGCTTTACCAGGAGTGATACTGCCCCCAGGGAGCTGGTCCCTCCCACATCCATCAGTAATTAAGAAATGCCTGCAGACTTCCCTACAGGCCAATCTTACGGAGGGCATTTTCTCAAGTAAGATCTCTCTTCCCACGTATGTCTAGGTTTGTGTTATATTATGCATTTACGTTGATGAGCACTGAGTTTGACTGATTGGTTAGCCAAATTCTGCTTTCCCTGAGAAGTATGTATAAGGTACTATTTTACCTATGGTCTCACATGATTTTTCAAGTATTTGTTTATCTCATGGATGGCTAACTAAATGTTTTTTTCATGAGTTTGAGCATGAAATATGCTGACATATTCTTGGATCACTTAGGTTTACATTTATTCATATTGCATATATATATTACTTGCCCATTTTATTTTGGAGAATTTCATACATGAGTACAATGCATTTTGATCATATCTACACCTTACCCCTCCAGCTCCTTCCTACCCTCCCCCACAAACTCATGCCCTCCAGAAGATACTATCTAGCAGCAAGTGTTCTGGTCCTCTGTCTCTTACACTCTTTCTATCCCCTCTTCTGTGATTTTCCATGAGCCTTAGGTCTTAGTGAGATTGCACTGTAGATGTACAAACTGGACTTAGGCACCCCATGGTCACTTAGCCTTTACATTTTGATCAGTTTGCAGACCTCTGCAATAGCCTCTATCTACTGAGAAAATGAAGAAGCTTACTTGATGAGGGGTGAAAGCAACATTTGTCTGGTTGGGATAGTCCTAGTCCTGGGGTTGGAGGACTAATGGGGGTCCCTTGTTCCTGATCTTAAAGGGACCACTTTCAATCTTTTATCTATTCATTGATAGCAAGTGCAAATTATGGACTATTTATGCTTAACTTTTCTTCTAGCTTTAGTTTGTTGATTTTTTAATTGTAAGAATATTAAAATGTGTCAAGTGTTTTCTCTACATCAATTGAGGGGGCTGTGTCTTCCTCTTCATTTGCTGAGTTGACAAGTATTCTGTTGAGAAATATTGATAGAAGTTTTCTTGTAGATTCTCTCTGGCTCTGGTGAAAGTGTGATATAGACAATGGGTTATGAAGACTTCTTCAGTTTTTGAAAGAGTGTAGAAATGATCAGTATTAATTAGTCTTTGAGTAATTGGTAGAATTTATCAGTAACTATTGGCTTTTAATTGTTGGAAAGTTTTTGATTACTTATTCAACGTACTTATCAATTTATAGGTCTATTCAGGCTTTCTATGTCTTTATTATTTAGTCTTGATACATTATGTATTTTCTGAGACTTTGTCCATTTCATCCAGGTTATCCAATTTCCAGTAATTGTTTATAGTACTCTTAGAATTTTATTTCTGTAAAATCAGGAATCAGTTCCTTCTTTTACTTCTGATTTTCTTTCCATATTTTCTCCTTTTATGTGTTCATTATAACAAAGTTTGTCAATTTTGTTGAACATTTAATTTGTTGATTAATTTCTTTAAATTTGTTTTCTATTGTCTACCTCTGCTGTAATCTTGTATTTTTTCTTTTCTGTATTGCATTTCTTTTATACTAGTGGTCTGTATATGAAAATTATTCACAAAATGTGACCTGCATTGTTCAACTCTAGCTAGAGTCTGTTCTAGCTAACGTATTGGACATGGTACAGACTTTCAGTTTTATGGAGGCAGAATCACGATCTTTCTGTTAATGGTTTTATCTCCAGTGCTTAGCAGAATTCCCAACATATGGTAGGTTTTCTAAATAAACACTTGTTGAATGACCGTCTAAGTAAATATTCAGGGAATTGTGAACTTTACAGACAATTTTGTAATATTATTAATTCTTTTGTAAATTTCTCATTTGTTAGGGAATTTTTTTAGCAGAAAAATAAGAAACAGACATTTAGTAGACTATAATATTATTTACATTAAATGAGCTATAGATTATATGAAATATACAGAAAAGGAGACATACACATTATAACTAGCTTATACATCCACACCTGGAGTCTGAATGATATACTAGTCCTTTCTACCTGAAAAATGCAGCCATTCCTGTGCATGCCACTGTGCAAATACTGCACGGCACTCGGCAACAGACCTTCCCCTCCCTCCGTCATATGGTAACCAGCTCAGTGAGATCACATGTTTTTCTAAGAATATTGTAGGTGTACTGTACTCCATTTGATTTGGACTGCACACCACTACAAAGATCACTAAAAGACTTAGAGCTGAAGTGATTTTTTTTTATTTTCCTGAAGAATATCCACACCTATTAATGGACACTAAATGATCAAACTGAAGTGGAAGACTTGGCTTAAGTTATCTGCGTGATGGTTATGTCCTGGTCCCTGGTACTTGCTCAGCAGAGAGAGGTTGCTCTAGTAACTGTCGAGTGGGTGAACCCTTCCACCACCAGTTTTCTTAAGAAACAGCACTGAAAAGATTGAGAAGTGGAAGAAAGCACCTATTTTCTTATGCCAGTGATCGCAGAAAGCAGGGAAATGTGCTTTGGGTGGCAACATTCTTGCAGGTCTTCAGATACTGAGAACTTATTTGTCAAAGCGAGCAATATAAATAATTAGAAGAAAGAAAAACAAAGGCCATGTTTTTCTACAGAAATTGAATGAATTATCGAAATTTGAGAAGGTGTTAACAGTCCTGAAAATATGAATTCTTTAGGTTTTGCATTTCCACTGTGCATAAGTAGTGTGGGATACTTCAGCCATTCTGTCAAATAATCTCTGCGTCAGCTGGAGAGCATGAACCGTTCCCCTGAAAGAGTTGCTTTATATTGAAAAAACAGGGTCCAGTTTAAAAATAAACTCACTTGCCTTTTACATAATTTTTATATTTCTCCCATCTTAATTAATTCCTTAACTTAGCTTACTTCCAACCAAATACAGTGAAAGCCTACATCTTATTCAACCATATAATGCATTTAGGATAATGTGATCAAATTTATCTTTGTGTTTGCATTCGGAACAAGCCATTGAAGTCGGTACATCTTAAAGCATAGCACTTCCTTTACCCTTGTTTTATGACACCTACAGTCTTGTTCACTGGGGAACATTTTTGAAAAGTAAGACTTCAGCAACAATCTTTTACAAAGCACATCAGCACATTTTAACTTTGCAGTTGAGAACTTAGGACTACGCAGCCCACCCTCTCTTCAGTTTTCTTTGCTTGAAGGATTTAAGTCATACAAACTCCAAAGACAGTCTTCAAAGATCAGGTGATGTGCCCTAAAACAAGTCAGAGAAAAACTGTCTTTAATACAAATCACACGGAGCATTGGGCATGAAGTGGGACCATGGCTTATATAATATGAAAAGTGTTGGGAGAGTCCATTGTAAGGCCAGAAAGAGTTTTTTTTAAAACCCACAATTCTAAAATATGATCCAGATAGTTGGTTTTTTATCATGCTTACTGAAAGCTGTTAAAATACAACTTACCTATTTATCTCATACCTTGATCCTATTCAAATATAATCTGCTTGAATTGAACTTCCTTAGAAAAAAATTCTGTTGTAAATATGTAGCGGATTTTTGAAGTTTAATTCCCTAAAAATGCATGTTTTGGGGCTGGACAGATGGATCAGTGGGTAAAAGCACTTACTATGCAAGCTTAACAATATGAATTCAATCTTAGCATAGAAAGGTGGAGAGAATCAACTCTTAAAAGTTGTCCTCTGACCCCCAGATGTGTACTGTACAATGTGGCCACACATTTCATATGCACACAATAGTAATAAAATTTTAAAAATCTAACAAGGAAACAGTCTGTATATGTTCAATACAGACCAAACACCACATTTTCATTAGTTCCTTCTTCTAGTTGGGACAGTCTTTCCATGGAACTCATATTAGTTAACTTTCTGTGCTATAATGCTTTTGATATATGGGGGAAGAAAGTACAAAGAGTAAGTATTATTTATTAATCTTTTACCTGAAATTTTATTCAGTTTTCAAGTTAGATTTCAAAAGCTAGTTTTGGCACTTAAGAATATCAGTATAATTAAGCCCACATTTATTTACTTCCTTACATATTCTGGGCCTATGCATGTGTGTGCGTGCCCTTGTTTACATATACATGTAGATATCAGAGGATACCTTGGGTGTCATTCATTAGAGAGCATCCACTTTTTGAGAATTTGAAACTGGGTCTCTCACTGTCCTGGAATTCACAAAGTAAACTAGGTGGCTGGCAGGGATCTACTTGTTTCTGCCTCTCCAGTGCTGGACTAGAACTGCAGGCCATCATACCTGGATCCCTCCAACCCCTCTCACATACCCCTCCTTATTCTTTTTCAGATTTCCACCAGGAAGATGCCTGATCTCAACCGGCATTCTTAAAAATATAGGTTCTGCAGTCCCAACTCATGCTTGCAAGTCAAGTACTTTACTATCTAAGCTATCTCAACAGCCTGCATTTATTGTGCTAAAAAACAAAACAAAACAAAACAAAACATTAATCTAGGCTGGGCAGTGGTGGTACATGCCTTTAATCCCAGCATTCCAGAGGCAGAGGCAGGAGGATCTCTTTGATTTCAAGGCCAGCCTGGTCTACAAGATGTAGTTCCAGAATGGGCTCCAAAGCTACAGAAAAACCCAGACTCAAAACAAAAACAAACAAATAAAAGTTAATCTATTGATTTACATTTTCATCATAATCTACCAACAAAGTTGGGCAGCATGGTTTTATATGGATATACTATTTCATTCTGATCATTCTCTGCTGTGGAATAATCCTCTTGTGTACTGTAAAGATTTGTCACTCGAACTGGTTTAATAAAATGCTGATTGGTCAGTAGCCAGGCTAGAAGTATAGGTGGGGCAGCCTAACTGAAGGTGATGGGAAGGAAAAGGGTGGAGTCAGAGGTTGCCAGTCAGACACAGAGAGAGCAAGATGGGCATGCTGTAGTGAGGAAAGAAACTACCATGTGGCAGAAAGTAAATAAGGAATATAGGTTAACTTAAAATGTAAGAGCTAGTTAATAATAAGCCTGACCTATTGGTCCAGCATTTATAATTAATTTAAGGCTCTTTATGGTAATTTGGGAAGCAGCTACCAGGTATTTGGAAATGAGTGGCTCTGAGACAGGAAACTTCTGTCAACGATTCTCATAAGTTCATTATATATGATATTGTACTTTTACATATATATCCCATTTATACATTCTTATTTTATCATTAATTAAAATCTTACATTAAATAAAATGAAGGTATGCCAGAAAGAGTGCTTTGAATATAAACACTCAGGCTTCAACAACATGCAAATTTTGACACAAACAAAACACAGTCCTGTCCAATTAAAGATCTAAAACAGGTGTGACTAAGCAAGGCTGCTGCTTTGCTAACCATCCCTTCCATGTGTGCTCTGTTCTTTGAGGCTTCCTTCTCTGTTATAGTACTTCGCTGTTCATTGGGTATCTGATGATTTACTGGGCTGACTAGAACATCTGTATACCTGAAAACTTTGTCTTCTTTCTTGCTAAACTTAAATCATTAAAAAAATTTTGTACTTTATAGTTAACATTACAGTGTTAGTACCAGTGCTATTTTTCAACTATTCCTTTGATACCATGTCAATGTTGACCTCACCACTCTTCACTTACTCTTTCATATCAATCCTTACAATCTCACTGTTCAGATCTGAGGGAAACGCTTGTTGGTAATTTGGAAAGGAATTGCTCTATAAATTTTTTGGGTTGGGGCAAGCATCTTCATCATACTGAGTTTTCTTACCGTGATAGCACATTATCTCTCTCTCAGTCTCTCTTTTGTTTTTTTTTTTCCAAGACAAGTTTTCTCTATGTAATAGCCTTGGCTGTCATGGAAATCACTTTGTAGACTAGACTGACCTTGAACTCAGAGATCCATCAACAGGCATGTGCCAACTCACCCAGAGATAGGTCTCTCTTTATTGGAGATTTTCACATTTTATTATTAGCTTACAAATATCTTCCATTTATTTTAAACTATTAACTATTGTAATTTTTGTTATTAAGTGTAAAATAGTCTATTTTAAATTATATTATTAAATTCTAATATAGTTCACTTGTGCTCCCCAATAATCCTTATTCTAAGTTTATCAATAATTTTTCATTTTATACATAAATGATCATCTTGTTAACAATTGTTTTTATAATTTCTTCTGGGTATCTTATGACTTATATCCAAAATTGGTTTACTAGAATTGGTTTATTAGTACAATGTTGACTAGAAGTAGCAACAGACATCACACTCCTGATTTTAAATGGAGACCATATAATGAAATGCAATGAAATTTATGCCCTGGCAATGCTGAAGCATGCATGGGCAGCACATATATGGTGGTTCTGTTGAACTTGTCCATAATTGGCTTCACGGTCTAAGTTGATGTCCTCAAGAGGGCACCAGATCTCATAACAGATGGTTGTGAGCCACCATGTGGTTAATAGGAATTGAACTCAGGACCTTTGGAAGAGCAGGCAGTGTTCTTAACTGCTGAGCAATCTTTCCAGCACCCATATAATAGTTCACAATTAATTAGAATAAGAAAGTTTGGTTCTAATAGATTTTGCTAATATTGAATTGAATCATAAAAGGTTTCTGCCCATTGAAACCTTTAATAGATCTTCTACTTTATCTGTTAGTGTGGTAAATTGAACTGTCAAGTTTTCCTATTTTAAGATGTGTGTGTGTGCGTGTGTGTGTGTGTGTGTGTGTGTGTGTGTGTGTGTGTGTGTTTTGAGTCAAGACGCCATTAATCTGCCAAAGGAGAACGCTAGAAACTTTCCGGTAGGCCACAGCCTTGTGGTGATACATAGATTAGAAGAAATGGGTTAAGATGTAAGAGTTAGGTAATAAGAAAGCCTGAGCTAATAGACCAAGAAGTGTTGTAATTAATATAGTTTCTGTGTGATTATCTGGGTCTGGGCAGCTGGAAAACAAATGCCGTCTCCAGTTACAGGTCTCTGCATCTGTTCCCATCTTTTGCCGGAGGAAGCCTCTCTGATGATGACTGGGCTAGGCACCAGTCTATGAGTATAACAAAATATCATTAATCATTTCCTTGACTTTTTTTTGTCAGTTTAGTTCTACTCTAGGTCTCTGAGCCATCCAGTTCCCAGTTCCTGGACATCTAGGCATTGTCAGGCATGGGCTCCCTCTTGAGGCTTGGACCTCAAGTTAGACCAGTCATTGGTTGGCCACTCCCACAAGCTCTGAGTTGTCTATCATTTCTCCAGCACATCTTGCAGGTAGACAGGTGTGAGTTGAAGGTTTTGTGACTGGGTTGATGCCCTGGTCCCACCACTGGGAACCTAGCCTAGTCACAAAAGATGGCTGGTTCAGACTACATATTGTTGTGGAATATTATTTTACAATGTGTTAAATTTATTTATGTTGTGGAACATTTATTTTAATAATGCAAAGATGCTATATTCTTTTATGTTGCTTGTGTTTAACTCTGTAAAGCTGTGTTACTTTGCCTGTCTAAAACACCTTACTTGTCTAATAAAGAGCTGAGTAGCCAATAGCTGGGCAGAGAAAGGACAGGTGGGGCTGGCAAGCAAAAGGAATACATAGGAGGAGAAATCTGGGAAGAGACATTCAAGGAATGAGAAAAGAAGGAGAGAGAACACCAGGGGCCAGTCACTCAGCTACACAACAAGCCATGGAAAGGTATACAGAAATAGACAAAGATAGAAGCCCAGAGGTAAAAGGTAGGTGGGATAATTTAAGAAAACCTGGCTAGAAACAAGCCAAGGTAAGGTTGGGCATCCATAACTAATAAGTCTCCATGTGATTTATGTGGGAGCTGGGTAGCAGGCCCCCAGGAGTAAAAGAGTAAACAACAACAACAACAACAACAACAACATATCCTCCAGTACTAGGAGTCCCCTCTAGGATCACCCTCATAGGTTCCAGGAAGTTTCCACTGCGCTAGGTTTCTACATCGACTCCTAAATGCCAACATATTCAGATCTCTCCCATACTGCCCTTCCTTTCTTCCCTCCCCAACCAGATCTATCCTGCTCCCACACCTCCCTGCCCACCCCTGCCCACCCACAAAATCTATCCCACTTCCCACTTTCCAGGGAGATCCATGCATCCTCTCTAAAGCCTTCCTTGTTACTTAGCCACTCTGGGTCTGTGGAGCCCACAGAATGGGAAAAGATTTTCACAAACTCTGTATCTGATAGAGGGCCAATGTCTAAAATATATAAAGAACTCAAGAAACTAGGTATCAAACAAATTAA